TGTATATATATATATGTATATAATATATACATATATTATATGTCTATATACGAATAAAAAATACAGTATTCAAAATTAATTGGTTAAAAAATTAGTATTATTGTTTTTATAATAATGTATGTATTCTTATAATATTATTGATAATATTTAATCATTGGTTTTCCTAAGATTCCGTAAAACCGACGATTCACAAGAAAAAAGCTGATAAGACTTCGAAAAGGAGGCAAAGACGTGCAGTCAACAAGTACTACGCCGAAGTGATTGTCAACGTCGACTACTCCATGCAAGAATTCCATCGAAGTAGGGATCTGAAGGAATACGTCTTAACCTTAATGAATATTGTAAGTACAATTTATATTCTAATTTATTCTAAGTTGTATTATATATCAGCATTGAAAATGATATATATTATTAAATTAAAATAATTTATATTATTAAATAATGAGTAGAAGAAAAGCGGCTTCGAAGAAGAAAAATAGTCATGTTGTTAGATTACTCGAAGGAAACAAATGGAAGCTATGTAGGCCTATCATGAAACTATGTCATATGATAGAGAAAATTGGAGAAAATTGCTGATGTGAACCTGCCAGTAGGCAGAAGTCAGATGATGATGACGTTCAGCGTTCCACAGACTGGGTACGATAAACTTTTCAGGTAGATAACCACTTCCCACCTAGAGACTGTCAGTCAGTCGGAATGATATACCACTTCAAAGACTTTTTTCATAAAGTCAGGTTATTTTAGCATGAGTACACTGTACATTCTTGAAACCCACTGTTAACAGACAGTCTGTTTTGAAGCATAGAGTACCACAGTCGTGTCGTTACGACGCCAGGTGGCACTCTATGTTGTCAACAGACGTTGGTTACCGTTCATTACGCCTGAATGACTTCATAGACTTTCTGGAATAGGTATTTTAAAATCTAATATTTTCCCATTAAAATGTACTAAAAACACAAAAGCTCGCATTATATTAGTTATCGAACACACATATAATCATCAATTAAAATTTACAAAGAAAAAGTAAGATACAACATCTTAATAATTACGTTAGAAATTGGGATCAGTGGTTTGTCAGTAGAGAAAATGGCGTCGGGTTCAACTCATTTTGCAACGATAGCAACGGATTAGAATCACGTGGTATCGTGACGTAACACTATCTCTATTAGCGGACAGTCGTGACAGTCCGTTTAACCAAATCAGTCCTTCCATGGTAGGTTTTGTGACAAGGAAAGACATCTATTTGTTAGTATCGGGAAATGGCATTCTTATACTTTTATTTATTTTTTTAATTTTTTGGGGGTATGAGATTGGCTACAGTTGACGTGAGTAAGCAAACGGATCACTCGAGTCAACGTTCAGAACCACAGTTCACTTGGTGGAAGGATCATTCTGTTATGCTTTGAATACTTAGAAATATTATTGTGCAAAAGTGCCACTCTTAAGGTAGCATAAATACCAATGTGTTGTCCAATCTGTATTTATCATGTTGTTCTTAATTTGTTCATGTGGTACTTGGCAGTAATTCGACAGGAAGATCAAATAATCAGTCGTGTTTCTGTAATACTGTGGGTTCTAAAGAGTCTAGGGTAGGCGGCGGCCACACGAACGTGTAGGAACGTCATTTATCATACTTTTTAAATGTTTTATAATTTTGTGTGTGTTTTAAGAAATAGATCTATTCCTGTATTAATCAATCAATCAATGGATTTATAAGGCGCATAATAAAGTTAAAGTATTCCTACAGTAGACAGCAAACTTTTCGATAATACATCCTGCTTCCTGGAAAATAAGGTTCAAGTTTAAGGTTAGGTAATAAAATTAGCTAGTTAAGCCCTTAATCACACGTTATTATGCATTAAATGCAATAAAATGCACTGTTGTGTCATTGCACAATGATCATCTTTACAGATTGGTACCGGCGCACAACAAATTTTCAGTTTTATTATTACATTATAATGTTGTTATTGGCTTGCCGTCGCCCTCCTGGTTATCATAATTTCCGGTACTCAGTATATTGATATGATCAAAAACCATTTACCATCATCAATAACATACAATATTAAATACAGTCAAAAACCTACAAGAAGCAAACATGATGATTTGATTCATTAGCAAAGCTCATTATTTGGGCCATCATTTATTAGTCAATTTCATAAAAATAAACAATTACATGCCTTGCCTTGTCGGTGACAGGATAAACAGAAAGCAACATTATTGATTGCTGTGGTATGTGTTTTTTTTCCCGCCAAAAATATAATAAATTGATGTAGGCCTAAGCATTATAAGGTGACCCTTCTGGGACCCTGAGGATGGTGAAAATGGTATAGATTCTGAGTAAAACTTTTTAATTTTTCTAGCTTAAACACATGTTGTTTTATTAGATGTAAAGTACCTGTCCAGACAATCGAATTTTAGTTGACAAAAATATGTGACATGTCAAAATATGGTCATGATGACATCACATTATGTCCATTTTTTGTAAAAGACTTTGATATTCAGGACAGTCGTCGAATCTAAGTGCACAGCTTAGATTCGACGACGACATCTAATACTGTACATAATACTGTAGCATGCCAAAGTATAATAAGCTCTCAAAATCGGTTGCCATTTTTAAGTCACCAACTTTAATATGACCCATCTGCCGCTACTTTCTACCGACTTGTCCTTATGCCCCCAATTACCATCCCGACCAGCTGACTTGCTGTCCGTCAAGATTGTCCAAATGCAATCACTTTCCATCAATCAATCGTGCAAAAAATTAGCTGTCACTTGACATCCTGATGTAAACACCATCATATTTAATTAATTTTACTTTTGAGTAGTTGAGTTTCGAAAGTAATTTATCTTAAGGACAGCTCCATTTCACAGGTATACAGCACTTTGAGAGTTTAGGCTACTCCGTGGTAGCAAGATAAATCACAGTTCGACCTGCACAGTCACGGTTTCTTCTTGCCTTATTATATTGCGATAATTTTCAGTTAACAGCCAATTAAATTTCAAACTAGAGAATTGTGTAACAATCTTGACTTCAGCTTCTGTTCTTAAATTCTATAAAGTGTTAATGCACTTTTAATTTCATCCATGGAAGGAAGTAACTGACTAATGCAATATTTTCCGTTTTACATAAGAAGCTCATAACACAATGCTACCGGTATCTAATTATGGCATATAGGCATCTCTCCAGCAAAGAAGATATTTCCCATGCAAAGTACAGTGACATAATTGGTCCTTATTAAATAATAAAGACGCTAGTAAGGGGACAAGGAGTTTATCCCCTCCGTCGGACAGACCAAGCTTTTTCCCTTCTCGTCAATTATTTTTTGTACATTCAGCAAATAATTCATCTAAATACAGTTTGATGAAACAAAGATGATATATGAATACAAACAATTATTATTTAATAGGTTGCTTAAGATTTATAATTTAGCAGTGGTGTAGATGGATAAATTGAAAACTGTACCAGCAATATGTCAAATGGTGCATCCAAATTACAAATAGGCTACAGTGTAATAAAACAAAGGTAGATATACCAATTATGATTATTTGATAAGTTACCTAAGATTCATTGTTTGGCAGTGATGCGGATGGATGAACTTAAAAACTACTGTATAAGCACAAACTTTACAATCACTGTAAGCTCTGAAAGATAATCAATGTACCACAATAACATAGGCTTAGATAGCAGTAGACATGGTACATTTCAATACTTCCGATAGATTTATTTGTTTATTTAATGTAAGTACATATTATTTCTTTTCATTGTGCAGGTCGATCAGACATTCCACCATCAAAGTCTTGGAGTTGAAATCAACTTTATTGTCACAAAAATGGTTAAAGTTGGCCAATCTGTGGTAAGAGAAATCTTCATCAGCTTTAAATGCATAGGCCTAACGTATACTATACGCCTATCACCTATCAGTATGCCTGCATGCATTTGAATAGAAGTAAGTTTTGTACAATTATTTCATATCGGTAACCTCATGATTATTATTCATTATAATAATTATTATAGTATTTCGTTTGTCAACTTAGAAATAACTAACTGGGTCTTCGTTGGGAATTCAAATCCGATTAGACACACTTCTTCTTTCACACTCTTTTGTACATGTGTAATGGAAAAATCTCTAGTTCTTGCTGATCTCTGCATAACTTCAATAACTTCTATATATTGGTCTACACAAACTCACAAATAATGAAATAGTAGTTCCAGTGAATATGAGGATAAGTGTGTCTACATATAGTAAATTTATTTATATTAGCCGATCCGTTTTGTATTCATATAATTGATTGATAAAAGTTTGTTATATTTTTCAACAAAATTGATGTTTGCTTTTTGATTATCTTTGCAATTTCGTAGTCGTCAAAAATGATAGTAACCGATAGTATGGAAAAAAGTCTAGCCAAGGCATGTGCCTGGTCCAGCCGAAGTACTTATCAAGAGAATGGCATCGGCAAAAAGCCTGACATCAATATTTACATGACAAGATTGCAGACAAAACGAGCTGGTAGGAATGACATATCAGCTACCAAAATAATTGCGTAGCCTGGTTTATATTAAACGTAGAGATTATTGACGTTAGCGGTAGCGTTTTCTACACGTATTATACAATAAATAAAAACGTATTTGACCTATATTATTACTGTCTCTTATACACATCTAGATGTGTATAAGAGACAGGCTTAGATGTATAAGAGACAGCATCCAACAGTGTATACACCAATTACAGGATGTATATTCACATTTGATTTTTTTTTAATAGGATATGCACTCGTGGGTACTGTGTGTGAGGGTCGACAGAGCTGTGTTATTAGTAAAGATTCAGGACTTCGATCAGCGCTTGTACTGGCCCACGAAATTGGCCATTTGTAAGATTATTTTGTATTTCATTATTATTTTTATTTTTATATTTCTTCAAAGGTCTATATTAGCATGTTTTTAGGGTTAAATATCATTTTCGAAAAGCAATACCAGTAAGATAACAACGACACTGATGCAAGTAGACTGGGTGTTATTGGTGCGGTTGGAAGGGAGTATGGTCGGTATCTTCTCATGCGGTCTCATATAAACCGTCTACATGGAAACCATTGAATAGTTATTACATCAAATTACATCAATATTCGCTTGGAGGTGCTAATGATCGACGATTCGACAGTGTACTACAACTCAGTGGCGTATCTAGGGTGGTGGGGATGGGGGGCAGGCCCCAGAAATTCTTAACACCGTTACTAGTACTGAGTACAGAGTATCTACTGGCTGTATCATAATTTATAAATATAGTGTTTCAATAATAGAATATTATATCCATTTTTCCAACTAGACTAGGGTTTGAGCATGACAACGCCAAGTCCGGATGTCTGAGCGATGCTTCACGGGGATCTCTAATGGCTGACAAGATAACATCCCGGCTGGCGGGTTACTTTTGGTCATCGTGCAGTGCAAGTGTCCTGAAAAAGAACATCTCGTAAGTACCCATTCATTGAATTGGGCCTAAGTCTACATGTAGACGTACCGGTATTGATCTTCTTCTAATATTTCTTAATATACATTTTTTCCCCTTTAAGCGCAATCCCTTGTATCAATGCGATATTTGTGATATTATTCGGTTCCAGTAAATATTCTGTAAGTAAATCTAAGTTTAGATGAGGACACAGTGCGGCCAATTACAGGATGAAGAGCTCAGGATTTTCGTTTTTCATTTATAACAAGCATATGGCTGCACGCGAGCTCACGTGTTAGGACATGGGAATTTTTTCCTAACTGTAAAAAAAAATGTTTTATACTGTAGATATGCAACTGTAAGGTATTTTGGCCCTTTTTAACGCTTCTCTGTATGATGACATGATGTTTGGGCCTAAAATCAGAATATAGCTTTGATGCCATATGTACCTTATTGATAGCAGCGAAAAGACTCATCATTTTCAACCTTATAAGTTACTTAATATTCAATTCCAAACAACTAGAGTCAACAAAACAAATTGATAATTTCGATGTGAGTTTGTGTTAGGTAAATGTCATAGACGTAATTGTTTGTCCTACCTGACGCGTTTTCGTACCGAATACTCAGTACGTTCCCAAATATTGGCGAAAACAATTCGCAAGTGACTCTTGGGTGGGAATCGGACCCACGAGCTCCAGATAACTAGCCTGACGCCCTAACCACTAACCTACCGAGCTTGCACAAAGTAACTAGTGTTGAATCCGATTCCAAGTAGAAGCGGTACTGCAAATGCTATTTCGATGTTTGTTTGCATCAGCAAAATATTTTAGGAGTGATGTTTTGCCCAGGGAACAGTGAAATTTTAATTTTAACTGTTCCCTGGTTTTGCCTTTAAAAATTGTAATACAACCATTCTGCGACGATATTATAATGAAAGTATTTATAATTCTTTCTCAGAAGCTACACATGCTTACACGACAATCCTTTCACTGGAGGATTGCGACAAGACACTCTACCAGGAATAAAGTTCTCGCTGGATGACCAGTGCTATTTTATGCATGGTGGGAACTTCGCGCACTGTCCCTGGGCAAATAAGGAATTTAATGTATGTATAATTAATTTCTCTATTATTATAATTTGTATTTATTGTTATCATCATCTTTACTAGTTTCTCTATTTTTATTTATTTTATATTCTCTCATGATCGTGTACAGCAGCCACACTTGTGCCATTAATTTTAAATTATAATTAATTATATAATTATACTTTCATGTTATAAAAATATATAAGATTTTTTTTTCGGTCGACAGTAGTACATCTTATATAAGTTGGTCTATATACTGTAAATCTATAATTGTTTTTATTATTAATATTTTTATTATTTATGTATAATTTTGAAAATACTATTAATTATTTCAACTTGTATGTTGTTATTTGCAGAAAGATCCATGCGAACTTCTCCTATGCAGTTCTAAGGATAACCGTAACTACTGTCTCCACGACCTCGCTCAAACGCCCCCCTTAGAGGGAACTGAATGCGGGGAAAAAATGGTAGGATAT